CGTTCAACTGGTGACTATCGGCTATTGAATGCAAACACCATTCTCGATCGTTACCCGTTGCCTCACATTCACGATTTGACAACTACCTTGAAAGGTACAACTGTCTTTTCGAAAATCGACTTGGTTAAAGCGTATAACCAAATCCCTATGGCTACTGACGACATACCGAGAACCGCCATCATTACTCCCTTCGGACTCCATGAATTTTTGCGAATGCCTTTCGGTCTAAGAAATGCTGCTCAAACATTCCAAAGATTCATAGACGACGTTTTTCGAGGTCTCAACTTCGTACATGCGTATGCTGACGACTGCCCAATCGCAAGTCCGGACAGAGAATCACATCTCAAGCATCTGGATCTCGTTTTCGAACGACTACAAAAACATGGCATTACTGTAAACGTTCAGAAATGCCAAATCGGAACCGACTCATTAAACTTCCTAGGACACACTATCGATGCTCAAGGTATCCGACCCCTTAGAACCAAAGTGGCGGCCATTCTGGATTACCCAGAACCGACCACGATCAAGCAATTACGCACGTTTAACGGCCTCGTAAGTTTCTATAGACGTTTCATACCGAAATGCGCTTTACTCATGAAACCGCTTACCGACCAACTTCGTGGAAATGCGAAATCCATTAATTTTGACGACAGCGCACGAAAAGCATTCTCCACAGTTAAGGAATTCATCACTAAAGCAAAAATGCTTGCACATCAGGACACCCGAGCACCAATTAGTATCGCAGTAGACGCATCCGACTCGGCAATCGGAGGAGTCTTACAACAATGGGTTAACAACTCCTGGCAACCATTGACATTTTTCTCTAGAAGGTTGTTAGACACCGAATCGAGGTACAGCACATTCGGTAGGGAACTCCTAGCTATGTATTGTGCTGTACGACATTTTCAACACTACATAGAAGGTCGTGAAGTTGTAGAACTATGGTCTACTATGATATTAGTACTGCTCTAATAATAGACCTAATCCTAAATTTGTATATTTGTCATGATATAACTGCCTGCCCCCCCCTTCCAGCCAAACTAGTTGGTGAAGCCTAGTAGGCCCTTCTGGAGAAACAGGCCACATCAAAGCACGGCACAACTACCGGGGCTAGAATAGTTGTTTCTGCAATCCTTTGGAGTTAACCCAGTGATGAGCAACTCCAAATGGTACATGCACCACTTTCAAGAATTTTGTCACTTTCCATTTCAAACGTAATCGTGCCATGTCTCTCTGTGGGTTACGTTGAATCACGACACGACTACCGGGACTATTATGGTTGTTTCTGCAAACTTTTGGAGTTAGCCCGATGATGAGCAACTCTGCATGATACATGCACCACTTTCGAGAAGATTTTTTGTCTTTTTTCATTCCAAATGTAGTTGTGCTGTGTTTATCTGTGGAGTTAGTAATCAGTTGGTGGGTATAGGTAGAGTGGGTGATTAGCCCGATCTCCACCACCCAGTTACCGCTCACGTTGGTTCATGAGACATTCGTCCCATTATCCAGGAGGCACGACGCGGACGTGTGAGTCGGATTTTGTATATAACTGCCTAATCTATAAGATTTTACGTGGAAGTCACACCATCGACTACACTAACTCACTGTATCGTATCAATTACCAATACATGATGTAGAACGACGTTAAGCTAGAGAAGGAACAATATATTTAACATGAATAGAAGATATAAGGTAACATTTAGATGGACCACGCCTGCATGGCCGAGCCATGCCATCCGATCAAATCCAGTCCATTCAATTCATTGTTCGCGCCTTCTTTATTGTTAGGTATTTCTCCGCGTTAAATATTGAATATCTATTTTCTGAGTAGTCTCGTGTTCACAGCTTTGTGGACTGTGTGGCTATTGTCCAATGCCACTACACTACTCTCCCACCAGAATCAACGTGATGTTGGTTCGATACCAAATTGGATGGGATCGTCGCGCGCCGGAGGTTACCAAGGATAATAAGAATCCTCCGGGTATTGGTAAGCTGAAAGATAAATCAAAAAGAAAGCGGCAGCATCTGGTCGGGAAATACCTGTAATAATTTTTAAAAAATCTGCCTTCATGCTTAACACGCTTAAAATGAAAATGTGGGTGAAGATTATTTGAGCTATAAAAAATGGGACTACAATAATAATAATAAAGTGATGCGTGTTAATAGCCGTTGGTTAGTAACTTGACGTATAGGTAGTAAGTATTTTGTGTTTAGAAATATTAAAAGCAATTAATATTGTAGAAATGTTGATATTGGTATTAGTTTTGGTTTAAATTATAAAATCAAATAACGTTCATGCTAGTAAGTTGTCCATGAGTTGATTTTCAATTGCATTTGTATTAGTAGGCTAACTGAAAGAACAAAAGTATTACCGTGGAGAAGAATTCCAACTAGTGTTCCAGTTAGTTTGATACGGTTTATTTAGTTACGGGGAGATTTTCTCAACCTCATTTTTATTTGACCGTGATAGAATTTAGTAATACTACTAATACACATGAATGGTTATCAAAACAAAATTTAAATACGTAAGTGATAATTATATGAGTTTAGGACAGATAGCTAAGAACAAATCGTTAAACATGAGTGTATTCGTAAGAGACATGCTCTAGACTCAATGTTCTGAGTTGCCATAGTCTATTTATACATATTTATACCTGACGGCTGATGACACATACAAGTTAGTTGCAAGTATGCAGTTTATCATAAGGCGGAATACGATTTAATTGAGATATAGTGGTTATAAGTTATTGAAATCAGCTTATGTGTCACATTACTAGGTGCTGCAAGATGTATTTGGCTAAATAAGTTTTTACAAGATGATTAATAGTGAGTGATGCTCATGTGATTATCAGGGAGAACATAAGTTGTAACCAAGGGGAGTACACTCCCAACTCATGTCTATGATAATGGCTTGAACCTTAGTCAGTGTTGGGGTAAATTCGACATTGATGTTTTCAGTTTGCAGGAGATTTGCTCGACTGCTTATACTGATTATTTGCATGCATGATTGTGTCGCTAAACCATCAACTAGACTGACAAGGTTTTGAGATATTTACTGAATGAGCAACAGATAGAGAAACATACTGTAATCATCTGTAGTGAATGAAGATAAAAGAAAAACAACACTAGTGATAATTTTAAGTCGATTTGCTGACCGATTTTGTTAATAGTTTCATTAATTTTATCAATCATATTACGTGATTGTCAAGTCATGACAATGCTTTATGATGATATCCTGAAACTACTATGTTTAACTAGTTATAGTGTTGATTGAGGATTAGCCAGTAGAAAAATAGGTATTGTTGCTTTAGATGATTCAAAATTATCAGAAATTTGTAACATTACATAATCCGAGACGCCTAATTATATTATAAATTTCAATTCAGAAATATTCGTTTAGTGTTAATTTTAGTAGGCTGAGTTTTGACTTTAAACGTTTGTTTAGCAAACAGCTACCTGAGGATTTAGTTCTTTACTAGTGTAGTTGATAGTACCTAAATTTTTAATCTTATTATCTAAACTATGTTCGCATTTTAGGCTGCTAATATGATAAACCAATCTATAAACCCAAATACGATTAGCAACAACAACTATGGGTTTATCGATAAATGTTAAAGGTGATTCAAATGATTTCTAAATTTAGAAGACATGAAGATATAGTGCAACGCATGTATGGGCCAGGTTAACATGCAGGTTGTTGACGTATATGACAATTTGAAAATAATGAACATGATGAGAAAGATAATTTTAAAGTTAAGACTGCTTATGAAACTTCAGGCAAGAATATGACGCGTTATAAACATTCCGTAAGAAGTTAATGCATTTAGCCTAGGGACACTTACAAATATATGGCAAAAGCAACTAGAAAACATATACATGTTAAGTACAAAAATCATTAAGTAAAATAGTTGAACTCGCCTGGGTTATTTTTGAAAATTAGATTATTCAGTGGACGACATATATAACGCCATTCGTGAGAGTAGTAATGATCCAAAAGTATCCAGAATAAAACATGCAGTATGGCAATTAATTCCAGGGTGCTTGATGCTGTTGCGTTTTTGCCACTCGCTCGGATCAGAACAACGAATGAATCCAGATAATTGTGTGCCATTGAATGAGCCATCTAAAATGACTTATGATTGCAGAAAACTTATAGCTGAAACTCACCGTATGTTTTTGGAGAAGTGTCATCCTTGTTGTTTGGCAATGGAACTCGAGAATATGAAATTAGGCAGGCAGTGGTCGGAAGAAAAGATATTACAGGATAGTGCATAGTTTAAAACAGGATGAGGTGTTAAGATAAGGAACACTGAATTAGATCCAGTAACTATTTAGTCCTTGCTGCATTGTTAGTCAATGTATATTTACGTTATTTACAGGTCATATTTGCTAGAGCTTGATGCTTAAACAAGTCTATGTCGCTGAAGCATGTAAATGCTATTAAAGCTTGTTAACGAACCATCAAAGCTAATTAGTTAATATAGACGACCAGTTTTTATTATCGATTGAGCTAGTATGTCATGAGAACTAATCAATATAACATTACGATAATACATGTGAGCATTAATCAGGACTATTAGAATACTGGGTTAACATAAATACAAAATAGATCAAGAAATTTAGAATGGAAATAAGATTAACAATATAGGTTGCGTTTCTCTAGTCGGGCTTACCAATGTAGAACTATGGTCTACTATGATATTAGTACTGCTCTAATAATAGACCTAATCCTAAATTTGTAGATTTGTCATGATATAACTGCCTAATCTATAAGATCTTACGTGGAAGTCACACCATCGACTACACAACTCACTGTATCGTATCAATTACCAATACATGATGTAGAACAACGTTAGGCTAGAGAAGGAACAATATATTTAAATGAATAGAAGATATAAGGTAACA